GTGTGTGTGTGTGTGTGTGTGTGTGTGTGTGTGTGTGTGTGTGTGTGTGTGTGTGTGTGTGTGTGTGGGCACAGAAATGGCAGAGTAATTATGTGATGCTCAGCAACTCACCGGTTGAATGACCCCGGTTTGTGGCATCGTGGTCGCTGTCGCCCTGCTCGCTGTCGCCGTGACCGCTGTCTTTGGAGCTGACGAGGTCTGCTTCTTGAAAAGCTGAACTAAAAAGGGGAAGGGAGAGGGGTGAGCACGGTGRTGAGAGCATTGGTAAACAGAGTAGAGGGGATTAAGATGCAAGTAACAGAGAGAATGAATCAGAAGTCAACACCATGTTAATGTCGTCACAGTGGCCATCAAGAGCCTAAATTAGATATTACACATGCAAGTAATGAATTTGAGCATTAGAGCTTTAATAGATGCTGCTCTGTCAGTTATGGGACTGTTGCCAACTTGAAGATGAATGTTATGGATATACTGGGAACCAAGTTGGCCCTTAAAGCCATAATTAAYAATGTGAAACATATGAGAGACTGATAAGTGTAGAATCCACTTTATAGTGAGCCGAGTGTGGATCCATGAGACCCTAAAGAAACCATGTGTTGGTGATGGAGGCTGAGATAATAGGTGAGATGATATGTGAGTAGTTTTTTTTTTTTTCTCTCTACCTGTTGACACGTCTTGGTCTGTCCACCAGATAGCTGAGTTCTGCTCGTTGGTGTTTTGTCTAGAAATCCCACAGAAACAAACAAAAAAAAAAGCACGCAATCACATTAAATGCCAAACAGACAGACGATGTAAATGCAGGAGAAGGAGGGCTCAGACTGATAAGAGAAACACCATTAATCAGGTGAGCAAACACTGCTGTCAACATGACACTGAGTCAGGAGAAGCTGTGACGGTGGGTTACCAACGGAGTGTGCATCTATTTGGTGAGTGAGTGGGCGAAAGGAGATGAGAGCGTGGGGGGAGGGGGGTAATTTAGGTGGAGGGAGTGGGTGAGATTGAATGCGTAAATGATTGAGAAGCTCGACGCTGAAACTGAACAACCTTTGTTCACGGTGCTGCCGTGCTGCGCTGTGCAAGGAATACTTAACGCGCAGAAGAGCAGGGCTGACTGACTGTCTGGCTCCACTCCAGCCACATCGCAATCAACAGAAAAGCCCCAAACTCCACAGCTCCACGAGCAGGACGCACGTTCTTTGAGCACATTAGGATCTTTAATTCACTTTTCTTCTCTGCTTTGATGACAAGATTTGCCACCTCAGTCTTAATGTGTTGTTGTATTTTCTCCAATTTGATCTGTCCACTTTACGGGAATGAAGATTTCCACATTTTTCAAAATTAAACTATTTTACATTTACATTTTGTTTTTTGTTGYCATCTATGTGTTCTCACTAGCAAATGTGTTTACTTTTGCATGAGACTTATTTGTTATTAGTTTCAGAAAAAAAGTGAGTTTAATTCGAGAAAAAATAGAGCGCAGCTTCTGAGCCTTTAATTCAGCATTTTATCTAAATAAATCCTTGTGTATGGATGGTCTGATATCAGTCTGTTGCATTCTAAAATGGCTCATGAGATTTAACAATTGACAAGTTCAATCACCTTGGCAATGATTAAAGGGCACTGAGCAGAACAGTCAAGTCAATAGTAGATTCATTTCTAAGACTTTTACTTTGTGTGATCTGAATGAGTAACAGGGTTTGACACAAAGCAGAGACACTTGTTGCATTTTAGAAGTAGTTTAGCATAGGAAACTGTGGGTTTTGAGCAGTTTTAAAACATGAAAGGGATGGAGTGGCATCAGTCCTGTCTTACCTCACTGGATAGAATGCTGCCATTGGATATGATGTCAGGTGTCTGGTCACTGAAACCAGTGACAATGGCTCCGCAGGGGTTGGTGTGATCTGTGTCAGTGCTGCGGGAGGGGCTGCAAGGCTTGAGGAACATCAGATCTGTTTTGGCCGACTCTGGTGTCAGACACACTTGGTAGCAGTAGGAGTTCTGATTCTGGTGGTGGTGGGACCCGAACCCACCACCCACGCCTCCCACCCCAGACTCCTCCACTGGCACCTGTCCCACGGGCCCAACTCCTGATGTCACATTGGTGCTCTGAACCAACATGATGTCAGATTTACTTAGTTTCTTCTGCTTCCTGCCACGAGTTTGCCTGCTGCAGCACGARCCACAGCACAAACAACAGTCACCGGCCAGCAGGCAGGTGTACAGGTTGAGCTTTTTGTCCTTTTGGCAGCGCACTGCCAGCACGATCATTGCCAGCAGGAAAATGAAGGAAACAGAGCCCAGGGCGATAATGAGAATGAGGGTGAGGTCAAGGGAGGTCTCCTTAGACTTGGAGGCTGATCCACGCTCACTGCGGCCGTCTACAACACTGTCCACTAAAATTACACTCACACTGGCAGAGGAGGAGAGCGGGGGCTGCCCATGGTCCCTCACTTCAATCAGCAGGTCGTAAAAGCCCTGGGTGTCGCGCTTTGGAGACACCCTGCGTGCAGTCCTTATCTCTCCAGTTCTCCAGTCCATACGGAACATCCCCATCTCGTTTCCACGCTGGATGCTGAAAGACAGGCGTGCGTTTTCGCCATCATCCGCGTCTATGGCCGTGATGCGCGTCACCAGGAATCCAGGCTCTGCAGAGCGCGGGAGATGCTCTTTGGCTGTGCCGTTTTTCCCGATGGGGGCTATGACAGTGGGAGCATTATCATTCTGGTCGACTATGATAACATTAACAGTGGCATTAGAGAAGAGCTCCACAGCACCAGAATCCTTAGCTTGGACCATGAAACTGAACTCCTTCAGCTGCTCGTAATCAAAAGAGCGCAGCGCATAAAGGTATCCAGTGTCCTGGTTTATGGAAACATATGTGTCCACAGACATGGCCTGGATCGTACACTCCAATATGGAGTAGGTAATTAAAGCATTCTGTCCTATATCAGGGTCCAAAGCGCTCACAGCGTGAATGAAAGCACCAGGAACATTGTTCTCAGTCACATACACATCATAAACAGCCTGCGTAAAACGGGGCGCATTGTCGTTCTCGTCGGAGACGTGCACTGTAATGGATTTGCTGGTTGCAAGTGAAGGCATACCTTTATCTTTGGCCACCACAGTGATTTCATACGAAGCTGTGTTCTCTCTGTCTAATGAGCCGTCTGTCACAATGGTGTAGTAGTTTTTAAAAGATGATTTCAGCTTAAAAGGAACGTCACCCAGTATCTCACAGCTCATCTGCCCGTTCTCACTGGAGTCTCGATCCGAGACGCTGAAAAGTGCGATCACGGTGCCGGGGGCGTCCTGCTCGCTCACAGACTCTGTCACGGTGCTGAAACCAATCTCTGGCGTGTTATCATTCACATCCAAGAGTTTGACCAACACTTTGCAGTGCGCTGGCACGGCGTTCGCTCCCAGATCTTTAGCCTGAACATAAATCTGGTGCGTATTGCTCTCTTCATAGTCCACCTCACCTGCCACCTCTATCCTGCCGGTTCTGGCATCAATGTTGAACAAGTCTTTTATCCGCGGAGTGTTGTGGCTGCTGAAAGAATAAACGATTTCCCCATTTGATCCCTCGTCAACATCCGTGGCATTCAGCTGGATAACTAGAGTGCCCACGGGTGAGTTTTCTCTCAGGTTAACGGTGTACACAGATTGGTAAAACGTGGGTGCGTTGTCATTAGAGTCCAGAACTTTAACAACCAGGAGAGCCGTCCCGGTCCGCTGCGGGATGCCCCCGTCCACAGCTGTCAGCACATAGCGGTGCACCGCCTGCTGCTCCCTGTCCAGCGGCTTCTCCAGCACCAGCTCTGCGAATTTGTTCCCGTCGCTCTGCGTCTGCACATCAAGGTAGAAAAAGTTATTATTCGTGATGGCATATGTGCTGAGCGCGTTTGAGCCAACGTCCGGGTCGAAGGCGTTTTCCACCGGGAAACGCGTCCCGGGAATTGCGCTCTCGGATATTTCCACAGAAATGTCGGTCTCCGGGAAGCTGGGCGGATTGTCGTTGATATCCATCACCTCGATCTCCACACGAAAGAGCTCCAGTGGGTTTTCCAGAAACACCTCCAGGTGCAATAGGCACGGGATGGTCTGCTTACAGATTTCTTCCCGGTCAATTTTCTCCTTCACCAAAAGCGCACCGTTTTCTAAGTTTACCTCCAGATACGGTGTCCGTGAACTGGGCACCGTTTGGAAACGCCGAGCGGAAAGTTTAGTAATGTCCAGCCCCAAATCCTCTGCGATATTCCCAACCACAGTGCCAGGTTCCTGCTCCTCTGGCACGGAGTAGTGAAGCTGACAGAAAGCTCCATTCAGGATGAAAAGAATGAATATTAACCAAATCATCTCCCCTGCCACGGTCCAAGTGCACTTCAGAACGAAAAAAAAAGTGTTAATCCTTTATCTTATAAGAGATGCGCATTTCCACTTTTCTTTGCCTGTAAAAAGGCAGCAACTCACACAGCAACAAGGCTGTCCGATTCTAAAAATCCTCCCCTCTGCCTCAGGCGAGTGAAATATTGTGTCGTTTGAGTTGTGAGTTGCACAGCCATTTGATCCGAGCCCCTCTGTTTTAATCAATTCAGCACCGGTCTGTGAGTTTTGGCGTCAGCGCAAACATTGCAGACTGGAGCCAGGACTCGGAGCCAGCATTCCCTGTGCGCAGCACGGATTGTCCTTCTTCTTCAAAAAGAAAAAAAAAAAAAGAAAAGAAAAAAAAGCCAAACAGAATTTTTAAAAATCCCCTTGAGTCGAAAACAGCACCAAAAACTTCCTTTTACGCACCGCCAAAATAAAAAAAAGGCATGTCTTTTAAACAGACGCACGGAACAACAGGACTTTCTCTATCTTTCTCTGTGAGGATGTAATCACTGCGCMTAAGCGCTCAAAGCGGATGATGTTCTCATCTCGGCTTCTGTAAGGCGAGTGTGAGCAGCAGGGTTGGTTTTGCGCACAGCTCCTTTCCCCAGCAGCCAATGATATTCTCAAACATCGGGTGTAATGGCACCTGATTGGGGCTCAGCAACGCCAGCTAGAGCGCACACGGGGCCCTCAAAACAAAACCAGTTAAGAGCCGCTGCGCTCCTCTCCTCTCCTCTCATCCACTCTCCTCTCCCGGCTCAGGCACAGTTGTAGCAGGAAAATTAAAAGTGTTTCACATCCAGTGAATTAAGAAAGTTAAATGTCAGCGACTGGGGTTGGTGAAGTCGCAGCTTCTGTCTGAACATTAAYATTTTTAACATAATAAACAAAAATATATATTTTCCCCCAACGTTTTTTTTAATTATTTTATTTTATTATTATTGACAACTGCTTCTTAGTTTGTAAATAAAACCGTAACACACGTTTGCCATATCTCAACTGTTTGCTATCAAAGTGCTGCTTTCATGTCAACGCATGAGTCAGAATGCACTAAAGATGCCCACAGCCAAAGACCACCATGCAGAATGTCTGCGTAAGTGAAGACAGCTTGTGACGCAATATCCCACAGTGTTGTGGCCATTCTCTCTCTCTCTCTCTCTCTCTCTCTCTCTCTCTCTCTCTTTTCTCGCCACTCTGAGATGCGCTCATCTGACCCCATGCGAGAGATGATGAAACATTTTGACTAAAATAATATCCCTCGTTTCTTTTGACTATGAGCACCATGTGGAAGGCGGCAGGATTCCATCATTACAGGATCACACGACTTACTTTAATTCTGTGAAATGGGGCGTTTGTTCTTCAGTCCTACCGTGTTACTAATAGCCTGGAGCCTATTAGTTCCCTTATCTTCCCATTCTTATCATTAACCCCCTCGCATCCTGTCTTCAACTCTGCTTTATAACTCAGTTTCATCATCTGTTAAATTAATTCCTAAAGAATAAATTACATRTGCAAATAGAAGGAGAGATGGTGGGGGTCTAACTAGTTGCATACGATTTGGATGATGATGGCAAAAATATGTGAAAATGGCATAATTGAGTCTAATTAACATTTCAATAATTCCAACTGTAATAGATGGGGTGCAAAAATGTCGGCAGTAATGCAAAACGACGTATCCTTTGTGTAGTGGATTAAACAGCGAGTGATWCGTTATTCTGCATCTCTCCATACAAGTCAGAAGAAACAAAGAGGAGACGTTGGATGAATTTGCACCCATGTCTGAGCCGGAGCTGTGTGACTGAATCGAGCTGACACCGGAGTCGGATCTGAGAGCAGCGCGCACAGCCGCTCCTATCTCTCTCTCTCTCTCTCTCTCTCTCTCTCTCTCTCTCTCTCTCTCTCTCTCTCTCCCTTGCTCTCTGTCAGCTCATCTCTTTCTCATCTAACCGACCAG